AAAGTCTCATTCTTTCGTTCTACAACTTCGTTTTGTTGGGGAGTTCTAGGACAAGAGAAATCATGAGAGATTCCATTCTAAGTAAAAAATAGTTCAAATCTTTTGTTTTCACATTCTCCACCATGATCACTTCTGACTTTAACAATTCTAAGATCTTTTTCGTTTTGGACTTGGTTATAGAAGACAAAGAACACAGAGTGTGACTCGTCCTTGTGTCTTAAGAACTTTACGCATGTCCATTTGCTATAGTCATCTACGATCACTAATACATACTTATTGCCACTAATGGATGCATTTTTCACTGGACCAAATAGATTTATATGCAGAAGTTCTAATGGTCTAAAGGTAGAAACAACATTTTTGGTTTTAAAAGAAGGTTTTGTAAACATGCCTTTTTGACATGCTTCACACAGAGCATCTGAGTTGAACCTCAGGTTAGGAAGTCCTCTGACCAGATTGAGTTTGTTAATATGCCCCAATCTTCTGTTCCAGGCCCATTACTCATCATTAACAGACAATAGGCATTTTACATTCTGACTTTTCAGTTCAGAAAGTTTTATTTTGTAAATGTTGTTCTTTCTCTTTCCATTAAAGAGGATAAATCTGTCTTTCTAACTAACTGCTTTACAGGACTTTTGATTGAAGATTATATCATAATTGTTATCACTTAATTGACTTATGGATAACAAGTTATGCATTAATCCATCTACTAACAGAACATTAGTTATAGAGGGAAGAGTACCGCTACCAATAGTTCCAAAGCCAATGATCTTCCCCTTCTGATTGCTCTGAAACCTACGTAGCCTCCAGATTTAAGCTCCAGGCTTTGGAATATATGCTTTCTTCCCGTCATGTGTCGAGAGTATCCAGAGTCCAGGTACTAAGATTGGTGTTTAAGTCTTGCTGTTAAAGATATCTGCAACATAGACAATTTTATCCTTAGATGCCCATATCTTTTTGGGTCATTTTTTGTTAGAGTTACCAAAATTCTGTTTGAATTTTGGTTTAGTAGAAAAAGTATTACTAGTATATTTTAAGTCATGTGTGTGCCTATAGATGAAGTGAGAATTCAGAGGTGTGCGTTTAATTACCAAATCCTTAACTTTCTTAGGTTGAGATACTTTACCTTTGTATCCTATTCCTTTTCTACCATTTCTGCTAACTCCATAGATCATTGAGGCCATCTTGCTTCTATCTATGTTTTCAGTAAGAAATTTTTGAAATCTATGATCATATTCCTTTATGATCTTATCAGGGTTACTAGGAACTTCTAAGATAGTTTTATTCTGAGCATTTTATAATTTATTTTCAATTTTTGAAATTGTTTCTTTCAGCTCAGAGTTTTTTGATCTCAATTTCTTAGTTTCTTCAGAGTCAGAAACTAGATCCTTTTTCAGGTTCTTGTTTATGACTCGAAGTTTCTGATATCTTTCTAGAATTTCTGACAGACTTTATTCTAATTGAGATCTAGAAAAAATAGAAAATACCTCTTCTGCCTCTGAGTCTGATTCTGATCCAGATGATTATGTATCATCTGATACATTGGCTATAAGGTCTATGTTGGCTCTTTCATCTTCTGATTTTGTGTCTGCTTCAGAAGAGTCTGAGTCATTCCATGTTGCCATGAGACTTTTCCTCTTCTCTTTAAATAACTTCTTTTTAGGTTTTTCCTTTTGAAACTTTGGACACTTGCTTTTTTAATGCCCTTGTTCATTGCATTCGTAGCAAATAATGTCTCTGTTACTTGACTTTCTGTATCCAGAAGATGGTTCATACTTTTTGTATCCAGACGATGGTTCAGACTTGTCCTCTGTTCTTATGGAATTTCTGAACTTCCTTTGCCTGTGCTTCCACAACTGATTGACTCTTCTGGAGAGAAGATACAATTCGTCTTCTTCTGATGAGGATCCACCAGAGTTTTCTTCTATTGCCTGCAAAACTTTAGATTCATATTTTTTTGTTAGATTTAAGGGCTAAAGACTTACCTTGCTTCTGGGGCTCATTTTATTCTAACTTTATCTCATGACTTCTGAGAGAGTTGACAAATTCTTCGAGAGAGATTTTATTCAGATCTTTGGCCAGTTTGAGAGCAGTGACCATGGGTCTCCATTTCTTTGGTAAACTTCTGATGATCTTCTTTACATGATCAGCAGTTGAGTACCCTTTATTCAGAACTTTTAGTCCAGCAACTAGAATTTGAAATCTTGAGAACATTGTTTCAATGGTTTCATCTTCTTCCATTTTGAAGGTTTCATACTTCTGAAGCGCAAGAGCTTTGGTTTCTTTGACTTGCGTGTTGCCTTCATGTGTTATTCCCAAGGAATCAAACATGTGTTTTGCTTACTCTCTGTTTGTGATCTTCTCATACTCCGTGTATGAGATAGCACTCAAGAGAATAGTTCTGGCCTTGTGATGATTTCTGAAATCTCTCTTTTGATGATCTGAAATTCTTTTTCTGTCAATCTTTTGGCCGCTTTCATCAACAGGATGTATGTATCCATCAGTCACCATATCCCAGAGATCAGCGTCATGAGCCAGAAAGAAACTTTCGATTTTGTCTTTCCAGTAATCGAAGTTTTCTCCATCAAAGATTAGAGGTTTGCCGTTGATTTTGTCTTTCTCATCATGATAGTTATTGTTGATGTTCTGACTTGGTCCCACCATAATGTTTTTCTTAGCTTGGATCTTTTTCTTACACGGTTAAGTGCTTGTACTCAAAACCATGCGCTCTGATGCCAATTGAAGAATGGAAAACACAAGAAAGAGGGGTTGAATTGGAATTTTTAAAACTTAAAGAAAAGAACACGTTAGTTATCCTGGTTCGTTTGAACTCAAACTACTTCAGTCCACCCGTCAAGGTGATTTCGCCTCTTTCAACGAGGTCTTAATCCAGTAATTAATCTTGATTACAAAACTACTATGACAACCGCCAAAGTCTTCTTGAGTATAAACCACAATCCGGATTTCTCAAGGAATTTCATTAAACAATATTGAATAAAAGTGTACAAGAATATTTTTCTAAAACAGTATCACAAGTGATGTTTTACACAGTTTGAATGTTGAAAGTTTGAGGATGATAAAAATAGCTTTGTTACTGTGCGTGAAAAATCGTAAAACGATTTATCATTCAAACTTTGTTTAAATAGGCGAAGCATGTAGGAGCTTTTGGAATATTGATCAATGATAATTAAAGAACTTTCCAAAAATAAAGATCTTTGTTCCCTTCCAGTCGTTACTTTTGAAATGGTAATAATTGATTTGTAACGCTTCAGAACATGCTTGCTTCAGAAGATGAAAGTATCTGCTGCTTCTTTCCAGAGCTTTGTAGATCAGAAACACAGAGTCCTATTTACAGCGTTAGAATTTCTTTAAGAGATGTTTAGAATCAGAGTTGAAATAGCTTTTTAACTCATCTTCTGATCTTCTTCCATTAGAACTTCTCTGCAAAATAAAATAAAAATTTAGGAAGCATAATTGTTCTTTGTGTTTGTTATCATCAAAACTCTTACAAGAGTTGTAGAATCAAACTATGTTCTAACATTTCAATAGTAGCGAAACCTGATTATTGACCTGCATAAGAATGGGAAATAGTATGACACAACGATCAAATGCGAAGGAATAAAAAAGATCATCCCAAAACAAACGTATCACAACTGAAATGGACTCCCTTTACAAATTAGAAAAAAAGTGTGGTTTATACCGTCAGATCAGACACAATCGACAAAAATGTTTCACTCGTACTACAAGCTCGACAACATAAAAATTGTATGCTAAATTATTTATACTTTTTAAAGATTTAAATGTAACTTTTTTTCATTAAGAGCATTTGTTACAACAAATCATACACAAACAAATAAAAACGCGTTACCACCATTACGATAAAATACAACATGTAAATATAACATCAACAACAACCAAGATTGAGGTATTTCAATTACAAGTGAGGTGGTTGTTCTTCTTCTCTGGATCGATGTCTCCTTTTGGTGGCCGAGAAAATAACGTACCAATCTCTGGTAAAAATCATGGGAGGTGTCATGATGCAAAAATCAGATAGAAAATGAGAAGAGAATGTGAAAACAATGTGAAGAATAATGGAAAAATAAGTGTTTTATTTATAGAAAACACTTGCATGTAGAAGTCATCTTAGATGATATAAAGTAAGTGTATGCGTCAAGTGAAATGACACCTAAGGTCAACAAGTAAGAGCATGTGTCATCTAAGTTAACTTCTCTGTTTAAGTGTATCGTAAAACATAGTTATTTGCGTAATTTTTTTTGAAATATTATTATTTGTATATTTTTTTGACTACTTATTAGATCAGTTTTTTTTGTAATTATAGAAAAAACACGACGATCCTTGTAAAAAAAACGGTTTAATGTTCTTTTATATCATTTTCTACATATATGAAAAGCTCTATTTAGAAAACAAAATAAGATATTCCCTCATATTAAGTGTCAACTAAAATAACTATATACATAAAGTATTTCTCACGAGAACATTAAAATCATAAGGTATTTCTCTTGAGAACATTTAGGCATTTTATTGGTTTGATAGATGTTTTTCACAATATATATTATTAAACTTATAAGTAGGCTTAACTTCCAAATCCTTAACAACAAAAAGAAAACCCTCAATTTGTCATCATCGAACATGTTACTGTAAGTAAGGGAAATATCACAGTTCCTAATAATTCTGCTGCAAGTAAAGAAGGGAAATATGTCAGTTCCTAATAATTCTGCTGCAAGTAAAGAAGGGAAATATGTCAGTTCCTAATAATTCTCCTGCAAGTAAAGCTAGGGAGCCACTGACTTATTTATAACTATTTACAGTTGCCATGCAACCACACCATTATAAACAAGCAACAGCTACAGCAACATGTTTCTACAAAGTCAACTTCTCTAAACTCTCGAAGCAAATAACTTTCTATTGAGTGTTGAAAATCTAGACAAGGGAGATATCATATTTAAGAAAACAGCTCTTCTACAATGACGCCTATATGATCAAGGTCTGTGAACTGTATCAGGACTCAAATCACTAGGACCACGCTTGTGTTTATGATCTTCAGCCAGAGCACCACGCTCAATGTTCACAGGTTCTATTAATGTAGTAGACAAGTCTTCAACCAGAGCAAATTGGGGAGTATTGCTAGATGGATTCACCAGTTCAAATTCGTTGACTGGAATCAAGTTCGAGTGCTCCTCAATTGAGAGATCGCTGTTGTCTTTTTGTTGGTCCTTAATGGAAAGATCCTCATTGTTTTCGTTAACAGACAGATGTCTTGAACTGGTTTCAAAAATCTTACCAAAATTGCTTTCAAAGAAACTGTCCATGGTTTCTATTGTCTCATTTTCTAAAACTTCGAATATGTCCGGAATGGAAAGATTCTCAAGGTATTCCTTGACAGATAGATCTCCTGACTCCGAGTTGGTTTCTGGTGTCTCACATTCTAAGAATTTGGCTACTTGGTCGTCAATGGAAATATCCCCAATGCCTTCCTCGACAGATGGATCTTTTGAGCTGGTTTCTGGTGTCTCAACAAGAAAGGATTCAAGGAAACTGTCGGTAATAGGACTGGTATGAGAAACGAATTTCACATCCAATAGTGGAATTTCAAAATCCACTACAGGTGGAGAAAGTGAAAATCCAAGAACATTCTCTATGATGTAGTCATGGAAGGTGTTTTTTGGGGCTTCGGCTCTATAATCACTGGGGGTCTGACTATCAACAACCTCATTTGGAATATTACTTATATTGGACAAGATTGCATCATTTTGTTCACCTGTGATTTCCCTATTTTTGTTGTCTTCAATTCTTAGACTAGGTTCAGTTGATGTCCTGTCAGCACACACTTCGTCTCTATCTCCTTGTGCTTTGCAAAATAAATCACTTTGTTCAGCTTCCTCTGCAGTCTCTTCAGAGTTCTTATCATTTTTTACTTTCTCTCCCTTTTCAAACAAAGGCTCTTGGAAGGGGATAAATTTGCCACTGTCTGTGGGACAAACCGACTCACTGTTCACTGGGTCGTTATTGCTCTCTTGGTCATCATCTTCATTTGAAAACTCAGGAGCTTTAACATGTAGACTTTTGGTATGCTTTGTAAACTCTGATGACAGAGAAGACGACAAAAAATTAGCTAATGCGGAAGTTAATGCGTCATCAATTGACAGCTTTGCTTTATCATTCGAAGGACGCATTTCTTGTTCTGATGCACTATCATCTTCATCCTCGCCCTCAGAAAACTCCGGGGCTGTAACTACAAGACCTGGGTGCAATTGAGTCGTATGTTCTGAATCAAACATAGTTTGAGGAGAGTCATCCTGATGAAATACATTTAGTACCTCTGTATGTAAAGATTTCTTATCAGATTCAATTTCTCCGATGACAGTACAATCAAAACAATCCTCACAAGAGTCGGTATCTGATTCAATACAAGAAGCATCAGGAGCAGATATTCTATAACATGATGGCCGTTCAGGGTTTTTCCATTTCATAGACAATGTCTCAAGCTGCTGCTCAACTCGCTGGAGTCGAGTCTCAATGTTGTTCATGGGCATTACCATTTTCTCTTGAAAGCCCAAACAGATTTCTTCTATCCTGTCCATTCTTGACATAAGCTTTTCCAATGCCCTTTCAACATTTCCCCCTGAAAAATCACCTTGAGAGGGAACAGCACGGAAATGGTTCTCCATTTCAGCAACTTTTGAGGGTGTAGCTTCGCAATTGCAGTCCATTTGAGCAGTTTGAGAGGGCATAGCAAGATAGTCGCTCTCCATTTTAGCAGTTTTTGAGAATGTTTCTGGCTGGGACGGACTAACTGAACTTCCTTTCACCTCTTTCAACTCACTTTCATGAGGATCAGTTATGCAATTTTTCCCTTTCAGCTGATTTTCTATCATAGAACCACTAGGGTGGGGGGTTTCCTTCAAATCATCTTCCAAAACAAATTGTTTGTCCTTTCTAACATCATTTAGACTACTGAGACCAGTTGTTTTGGATACTTGCATTAAAGTCGGAAGAAGCATAGCCATGAGAGAACTGCTGGATGAGTTTTCATTACAGCTTTCTTGGATTTCTGAACCAACAGGATCGCCAAATACATAAATCTCATCCACATAAACACTGCCTTTAGTCTGAAGTGAGAGTAGACGAAGTGTGACAGAGATGCAAGGATTCACGTCATTAATCTCAGCTGTAGCTTCATAAAGATCCTGCGGGACAAAAAAGAGGACATTAATTTCAGAAAACAAATCTAAAATTGGCAAAATATCACGTATCATCATATATTCATGTTCATGTGGCTGGCATGATATTACCATCATATATTCATCTTCATTAGCCATGAATAAAATCTAAAAATAGTAATAGTTTGTTTGATCACAAAGAACGCATTTCAGTAAAAAAAAAAAAAAACTTAAAGCACGTATTCAATAAACTATTCTAGAGAATGGAGAGCTTTCACCAATAAGCTATTCTACAAAGCTTATTGAAATTTCTTATAAATGTATCCAAACATTTAATAAGGCCAATAAACACTTCCAAAGTGTCTAAAAGCCACATTTAGACTGCCTTATAAACGAATCATTTAGACACATCCACTAAAAGTCAAGAATAAGCAAGCATTTAGGAAAAGCTTATGACATGTTCATAAACAATGTTCAGCCTATTTCAATAAGCTCACTAGAATAGCTTACGAAAATAATCTCTCTACCATCTCAATATAAGTCACTATAACAAAACAAATTTTCTTATTCTATTTATCTTTTTCAACATCAACAAATCATTCGTATTACACCTCTCAGTAACACTACACATATACGGACACCAACAACAGACACAATATCAACACTACACATATACGGACACCAACACCAGACACAATATCAACACTACACTAACACATAAACATTAGCAATAATTTGAGAAAATGTAAGTGATTTGTTAAAACAACAACCAATGTAGAAGATTAAATAAAAACAAAAGCAAAATATAATGAACCCAATCAGTCTTTATTAACTAACACAGTTCGGCCAATGGTTACCCCCTCTGCGACTATAGAGCAGCTATAACTTTCTTGATTTATGTCTTATGAATTAGGATTACAGTGTTACAAGCAATATAATATAATATTAGGGCTCAGTTTACAATAATACACCTGAAGCGGTCATATACCTGAGCACTATTTGTAAAGTTGTTATAGGGTTTTGAATGAGAAGTAGCATCAACAGCTTTAACTTCAACCCAATCATCTTCACTTCTAACATAAGAATCAATATCGTTAACACAACGAGAACGAAGAACTTCACCCTCTCTAACAGCGACACCACAACGAACCGTACATAAATACTCATTACTGGAACTCAAATCAGATGCGATATAAATTTCATACACTCGCGCAGTGCTTCGAACGTAGATTTGCCTCACCTCGTGTTTTTCTGCGAAATTAACTGCAAAACAAAAAACAAAGAAGCAATTACAAAAAATTAATGCTGTTAGGTTAAAAGAAAAAGTGAAATCGATGATTACTGGTGATTTCGCAAGGGGTGGAAGTGCAATCTGGTGAGGGGGAGTGTAGGAGAAGAGGATGAGATTCGGCGGCGGTTGATTCGTAGTCTGAGGAAGAGAACGACGATTGGAAGGTGAGGCAGTTATGGAGAGTGCCGGAGGTTACGGTCCAGTTGGTTTGGGAATTCGGATTTGATTCTTCCATTATCATCGATCAAGGTTTCTTTTTTTTTTGAAGAAGAAGAGTGTGAATAGTTGAATTGAAAGGAATTTTAATTTATAGGGAACTAGAATTTTTTTCTTCGTTTTATTTATATTTTATTTTATTTTTTGATGCGTGCATAATAAGTCGAACGTTGATTAGCCACGCGGTGAATATGAATTACTAATACAAAATAAAGATATACATTTATAATATAAAATAATTTTACACATCAATCCATCAAGATCATGTTAATATTAAATTATACTGTTTTTTTTTTAATACTGGAAGTTATATGACATGATTAAATAATAATTTTTTATTGAATGATAATGTAAAATTATAAAGTTAATCTTTGTATTATCTTTTAATTTTTAATAATGATATTTAAAAAATAATAATTAATCTAGGGGTATTTTGACTTTATGGGACTTGATGGAAGCTGAGGTATAGGCTATGCATTGTGTAGAGCATGTCTTAATTATTCAAGGAATGTTTTTGAAGAGTGAAGTTGAGTATTCTTTAGCTAATGTGTATACTTCGTGTGATGGTGTGGGACGTCAATTGTTATGGAATAGCCTTGGAGTTGTTTTGGCTAATTCTGATGGAGGTCTGTGGTATGTGTTAGCTGGAAATTTCGACTAAGGATTTTAAAGTTAGACTTGAATATATTTCAGAATATTCCACTACTTTATTCATGTGAAGCCATAAAGGTTGAGATTCGAATTGAGTAAAATTCGTTGGAAAGGTTTACCAATTCGAATTATTGAATAAAGATTGTTATTCGAAATATGGCTAAGGTTTCAAACTTTTTTTTTGTTCGACCATCTTCAGAGATTGGCGCTCAAGATAAGAAGGAGATTCAAATTCAAATATTTTGATCTTATCCAAAAAGACGCGTGGAAGGCTTTGAGTTCGTCGAAGACATGCAAACAGAAACGTGACATTAGTTCGTGTAGAAGACCGTTAGGGTCGAAGTAGTATAAATAGTGGCTTTAGTATTTCGATTTAGACGGTGAACATCTTTGTACAAATTATTCAAAAATTACTCAAAGTACCAAGCGTTAAAGAGAAACGAGTTTATTGAGGATGTACGTATGATACACCCATTTAATATAAATGCATTTACTTTCTGCAGAATTTCCAGTAACATTTACCATTTCAAGTTTAGAAGTAATTTTACTTTCACTTTATATGCATTTTAATTCGACATTTGAAGCCATTTGTCTTCATATACAAAACATGTTAAATACAACAATCAAGATTAATAAAGACACTCGTGTCCTAAGATCAATCTGATCGATCTCGCGAGTAACTGGATCCGTGTAAGGATTTGGAAGATCAGCGGTTGTTTACCAAAATTCGAGGGTAAACAAATTGGCACACCCGGTGGGACTTGTGTCTTTATCCATCTTAGTTTTAACTTATTTATTGCATGAGATTGAGAAGTGGAAAACTAGCCAACAATATAAATCCTAGACCAAAAGGACAACACATTAGGGGAATGGCTAACCCACCCACTAGTGATGCGCAACAAGTTCACCCTCTTGTGGGAGGAAATACCAGCGCTTCGAATACAAACGAAGTGATGACGGCGAGTCAAGGGACTGCAACGATCCCTTCGACAACAAGCGCTGCAGTTATACCCCAAAATACAAACGCTTCAACTATATCATCAAACACCCATAACGAACATACCATTGTGTCTATGGCCAATCAAAATCCACCATTAACACCCAGGCCTTTGATAGGTATGTCTAGAACTTTTCCACCAGGATTTACAATCCCAACATCAGATCCTATATATGGCATGCCAACTTCATTCATGACGGGATTTCAAAATAATACGTCGACATACACCTGTCCCGTGACATCTACTTTATCACCATTACAAGGATCAGGGTCTGGGATAAACCATATGGCTAGAAACAATTCGCAGCCAATCCAAATACCTGTTATCACCATAAATACACAAGCAGTCATAAGGCAACAAATGGACGATAGCAATCACGAGATGTTGGGCGTATTGGCCCAACAAATGGGTACGATTTTCAACTCTTTAATTCAAAGCACTACACAAACTAACTTGCAGAATGCCCAAGCAAACCAACAGATGGCAGCGTAAATAGGGCATCTTGCAGATTTCTTTGGTGCGCCCAGAGAAGCAGTTCGACAACCACCCCCACAACCCATATGGGTAAGGGAGAATCAAGGCATCATATTCCAAGAAGAGCCAACCATAAACCAGGCCCAACCTTTGATTCACCCTGAAGCCGAAGTCCAACAACCAATTCGAAGGGAGGAACCACCCAGACCCCAACAGGCTATCCCTAGGGAGGAACCAGGGAGAAGGGTAGTTTTGGTGAATCGAAACCAAGATGCTGATGAAATCCTTCAGGGTTGTCGACAGAATGATATGGTGGGAAACAATAACCTAGCAGCCTTAGTCGAAAAGGATTATGGCACGAAATGGGGTAAACTTAGTTATGTGTAGACCAAATTATACATCCCCTTTGTCAAAATATATTCAACGAACTGAATTGCCAAGGGGATGGAAAGTACCCAAATTCACCAAGTTTTCTGGTGATACTAGCGAATCTACCATAGAACATATCGCCAGATACCTTACAGAGGAAGGAGATATAGCAAATAATGAAAATCTAAGGATTAAATACTTCCCTTCTTCGCTGACAAAAAATGCGTTTACTTGGTTCACCACCCTCGCGGCGAATTCCATCCATGATTGGACTCGTTTGGAGAGGCTGTTTCATGAACAATTTTATGTAGGACAAACCAAGATTAGTCTAAGCGAATTGGAAAATGTCAAGCAAAAATTTAGTGAGCCCATAGACGATTACCTCAACAGATTCCGTTTGTTGAAGGCAAGATGCTTCACACAAGTGCCAGAGCACGAGTTGGTCGAAATGGCAGCAAGAGGTTTGGACTTTTCTATCAGGAAAAAATTAGATCCCCATTATTTGAGGGATATGGCGCAATTGGCTGATAGGATTCGACAAGTTGAGCGTTTGAAGATCGAAAAGGCTAGGGCGAAACAAAGTCAGAGAAAAGAAAGAGTGGCTTATGTCGAAGCCTGCTCAGACGGAAGAGAAGTCGAAGAGGATTTCTCATAAGTCGAAGAGCAAGAAATAGATCTTGCAGAGTTGAAGCAAGGACCAACGTACCCTTGCAAAATGTTGACTCCTACGAATGGGAAAAATCCCGTTGAACCAGAAAGGAGCGACAAATTTCCAAGAAAATCTTATACGTTCGACATCACCAAATGTGATGAAATTTTCAACTTACTAGTTAAAGATGGCCAGATGATAGTGCCCCCTGGTGCTAAAATTCCTCTGTTAGAACAACGAAAGAAAAGGGGTTTCTGTAAGTATCATATTTCTTAGGCCACAAAACCTCACAATGTTTTCTTTTCAGGGATTTGATACAAAAATCAATTCAAGATGGAAGGTTGAAGTTTGGGAAAAACCCAAACCTCAAATGAGGATTGATGCTGACCATATGCAGGTTGTCGAGACCAATTATGTTGAGTCTGCTGCCATCAACATAGTGGACATTGCTGGAGTCGAAGGGTTGCAACCAGAATAAAACCAGGGGTCTGACAAAGCCTCAAATCCAGGGTTTGCTAATGATCTCGTGGCGGAGAAGGAAAAAAGCGCTACTGATGGTGCAATAAAGAGTGCAATGAAGACCAGGACTATTGATGGTCTTAGGGTCAAGTTCCAAGGAATGAAACTTGTCGAGGGTCCAAAATTCAAAGTGAACATGGTGGACCTGAACCAATTCTCCCCAGAAATGGAGGAGATAGAAAACCGAATCAAAATGGAGAATGAAAAGATGAAGGCAGGCGACCAAAAGGTGAGTTTGGTGGATTACTTATTCCATTGTCACTCGAAGAACCCAAAGGGGCTTGTGTGTCCAAGGTGCAACATCATGAATGATCAAGGAGTGGCTGCTACCTACCAAAGGGTCTATCAGGAGAAGGCCAGAAACAACTGGAAAAGGGAGAAGAAACTCTTACCTTACCCCCAGATGGGAGAGAGTCTCATGGGATTCTTAGTTCGTTGTCACAAAATGGGTTCAGAAGTTCTTATGTGCCCATGGTACAGCGCGCTATATGACAGAAGGACTGCTGAAGCTTACAAAAGGATTCCATACTCTAAGTGTTGGAACAATCAAAGCTGGAATAGGGAACATTACGCCAATAATGTAAAAGGCATCCCCAAAAGGGCAGATAGCCCACACCCTGGGGCATGCAAAACATGCCAACGGGAAAAAGAAGGACAAAACAGGACTAAACAGAACTGAAAGCAAAAGGAAAGTCAAATTGGAGAGGCTTCGAAGAAGGTGGACGTACTGCATGGGCCTTTAGGAGGCAGTTTCACTCTAACAAGCAACAATCTCACGTGTCGGAGAACTACAAGGGGAAGAACCCCATGTCTAGGTCCCAATGGAGGCGACACCAACGAAACAAGAAAGCCCAAAGGGAGCTTACAAACAAGGAAGTTGCCGAGTCAAGCACCAACCAAACTTCGACTGTCCCAGCAATGAAAAATAAGTCCCCAACAAGGAGGAAACTTTTCTCTCCTACCAAAATGAAGGTCCCTGGAAAAGGGGACAACAACGAACTGGCCAACAATGGGCTAGTAGATGATGAAGATATGTCAACAGATAGCTTCAATTCTGATGGAGAATCTTCTTTGCAAATAAATTGCAATGTGGTTTCTGTCTTACCACATGAGTACGACCAGGTTACTGAGGTCGAAGACTCCGAAGAGGCTGGCGAATTGGAAATGATAAAACACAAACCTGCATGTTACTATGTCATGAATAATGGCGTCGTTGAAGAGAAGAATGCCTTCTTTGAAAGGCCAGATGCAGGTATGAAAAACCACCTTAAGCCTTTATTTATTAGGGCTAAAATTGAACAGGTGGACATCAACAAAGTTATGGTGGATGGTGGGGCAGCAGTGAACTTGATGCCTCAATTCCTA